ATATTTTTTATTTCCTATTTAATAAATTGAGCAAAAATAAAAAATATCGGCTAACTTTATTATTATGAATTTATTAAAATAAAGTTAGACAACATTTCAAAATTTTTAGAATTTTTTTTATTGCAAAAATTGTTACAAAAAATTTTTTTTTTAATTTTGTAAAAAATTTGAAGAACAGTAAGTGCAATTAAAAAAAAATATTTTTTAATTCTAATTCAAAAAATTAAGCAAAAATAAAAAATATCGGCTAACTTTATTCTTATAAATTTTTAAATTTTAAAGTTAAAATTTTTGAAAGTTGCTCCAATTTTTTTTATTTAAAACAGATCTCAAATAAAAAAAAGTTCTTTTTATTTCTTCTCTTACAAATTTTAAATTATTAAATTCAATAGAAAAAAAAAATGATTATTAATTATTATAATCATAAAAAATGAAGCTTTAAAGTAAACAACTATTAAAAATAAAATATTAAATACTCTATACGGATACAAAGTAATTTTCGTACGATGACTCGCAACTAAAAGTATTCTTTTGTCCTGTTCTACAGAGTTAACTCTATGCATCATGCAATTTATTTTTTATTGATACAATTGCAACAATCATTTTTAAATTACAATCATGGTAAATAATAATAATAATAATAATAATAATAATAATAATAATAATAACAGATTATTATCTACTCCAAAATATAAACATGAGCTATTAATAACAATAATAAAAAATATTTTAATAAATTAGAAGAAAAAAAATTCTAATTTATCTGGACCATAGAATTAAAAAAAAAAATAATAATAATAACGAAATAGTTATTTGCCCTTGAAAACAAGTTTCGCAGGTACATGGAAAAAAGATTTTTCGGAGACCTAGATATTGGTCAATCTAAAGCTATTTAAAATATAACAGCGTTGGAAAAAAAAAAATAAAAAAGTTTTATGGAGAAATAGAAGAAATATTTAAATTGTAATATTTCATATTATAAATACGGTTGTTAAATGTCAAGTGATCTAAAATTATCAGATGAGAGTACCAGCACAAAGCTCTTTACAAAATGTAGGATGGAAGCATCTGCATCTGCTGGAAGACATATAATAGCTAATAAAAATAAAATAAATAAAAAATAAGAAGAAAAATAAAAAATTAATAATAAGAGAGAAGTTTATATTAGTATTGACTGTAGATCTGGGATCTAGGGACTTAAGTTGAGCACAGTGTGTTGGCATTCGTCAGTTTTAGTTGGGACTTGACTTGAAAAGTTTAAGAAACAAGACGCAGGACGCAGGTCGTTCACACATTTTATTTTTTAACTTATAAAGTCTTAGCCTACAGCACTGAATTATTCGGAGAAGGTGGTGGTACGCACAACACACAACAGTTACAGCGCTAAGCCTAAAAGCAAACAAAATAAAAAAAAAAAATAATTCTTTTTTACTCTACTCTACTCAAAATTCTCCAAGCTCCGCTGCTGGACCACGCGACAGTAAACACAATGGGTTTTAACAGCGTTGCTAAATTATTACGATTCTATTAGTTTTATCAATCAAAATCAATATTAGTAATCATCATCGATTATTTTTTACGCTGGATAAAATTACTTGTGCGCAGAAAATGATCAAGTGAGTACAGGTGTATTTTTTATTTTTTATTTCTTTATTACTTAAAAGGTAGTACAAGTGTGTCAAATGATTATTCATACTACTAGTATTGTTCTTCTTAAAAATGTAACTTGATATATAAATAAAGTAATTATGTTAGTAGGTTTTTTACTTGGTAATGTATCTCTTTCTATATTATAAAAAAATTTATATAAATATAAGTACTTAGTTGGTCATAAAATTTATCAGTTCTTGTTTTAGTCTTCACTGTGCAAGTTTGTTAATTCAGAATTTTTTTATATTTAAATTTTACAATTTTTTTTAATGGATAAATAAATTATTTACTTTATTAATTAGTCACTTGTTTATTTTTTAATTTGTTTTTTTTTTTTTTATAAATTTGTTCTGAAAAATTATGTTAAAAAAATGCATTTTTGGTATGTTAAAATTTCTTCACTTCAATTTTTTTTCTTATTTTTTTTTTTTTGGCTTAATTTATATTTTAATTTATTAATTATCTGCTAAATTAATTTTTATTAAAAAATGACTTGATTATTTTTTAATTTGCTTTTTTTTTTAATAAATTTGTTCTGAAAAATTATGTTTAAAAAATTGCATTTTTAATTTATTAAAATTTCTTCACTTCAATTTTTTTTCTTATTTTTTTTTTTTGTGATAATTTATTTTTTATAAAATTTTCTTAATTTATCTATCAAACATCTACTAAATTAATTTTTATTTAAAAATGACATTAAAGTTAGCAGTCACTTGATTATTTTTTAATTTGTTTTTTTTTTTTTTT